CAAAGATTCCTCTGCTTCAGCGTCTGGCGAATATGAGCGTGCATCTCATATTCACAGCTCGCTCAAAGATTCCTCTGCTTCAGCGTCTGGCGAATAGGAGCGTGCATCTCATATTCACAGCTCGCTCAAAGATTCCTCTGCTTCAGCGTCTGGCTGAATATGAGCGTGCGCTCATATTCTCAGCTCGCTCAAAGATTCCTCTGCTGCAGCGTCTGGCTGAACATGCGCGTGCGCTCATATTCTCAGCTTGCTCAAAGATTCCTCTGCTTCAGCGTCTGGCTGAACATGCGCGTGCGCGCATGTTCTCAGCTCGCTCAAAGATTCCTCTGCTTCAGCGTCTGACTGAACATGCGCGTGCGCGCATGTTCTCAGCTCGCTCAAAGATTCCTCTGCTTCAGCGTCTGGCGAATATGAGCGTGCATCTCATATTCACAGCTCGCTCAAAGACTCCTCTGCTGCAGCGTCTGGCTGAACGTGCGCGTGCGCGCATGTTCTCAGCTCGCTAAAAGACTCCCCTGCTTCAGCGTCTAGCTGAATATGAGCACGCTCATATTCTCAGCTCGCTCTGCCTAAACAAACACGGGCCCCAGCGGACGCAGCCGGCTGAGCGACTGTGCGAGAAGCCTCTCACTCATGCTCTCAGGCCCGCGCAGTACGTCCTGCTATCCCAATCGCAGGCCCGCTTTTTGGGGATTATGCACGCGAGCAAGCGCCGTGCTCAACAGCATCCCTCCCGGGCCTAGGGCGCCAAACATGCTCAATCAATAAACATGCTTAAATCTAAGTCTAACGGGATTTTCCTCATGGGTCTCTCCAATGTGAAATGGAGCTTTCACGAAAGTTCACTGTGGTAGACCCGGCTGCTGCTTGCCCAGATCTACAGGCTACTCTTCCTCGGCTCATCAGACCAGCAACGCCCACATCCAGCCAACCAATAACCACCAGGACAGCAAGTTAAAAGCCGGAGACTCCCCCTTTCCCGGCCTTCTGAAGTCTGCAAGCCTCCGCCGCCCCACCTCCTCCTTTTCTCACCAAAGCGTGCTTGCCTACTGCCTCTGCCGCCACCAGTGCCTAGGCCCCGGGGGGGATTATGCACGCGAGCAAGCGCCGTGCTCAACAGCATCCCTCCCGGGCCTAGGGTGCCAAACATGCTCAATCAATAAACATGCTTAAATCTAAGTCTAACGGCATTTTCCTCATGGGTCTCTCCAATGTGAACTATGACCAGCGTGCCTATTGCAGTCCTCTGTGTCATTATATGTGGCCCTTTGCCTTGTTAAAATAATCATAAAACAAGTTGGCAGTGTCATCCATCCAACTTCAGCTCTGTCAACATGTTACAACAGGCATGTTATTTCTTGTTGTAAAGCTCAGGACCTCTGGAATGTGTTCAACTATACCGGTTAGTCCACTCTATGATCCAAACCCCTGCATACATGACGCTCAGCATGCAAATTATGCTTAAATCTGTACATACTTGAATGCTATGCTGCCCTCTTGTGGCGTAGTTCATTTCAGTGTTAACCTCCATCCATCCATCCATCCATTTTCTTCCCCTTAATCCATTTCTGGGTCGGGGGGGTGGCAGTCAGAGCTGCGCCCAGTACACAGAGCACCAGCCGCTCACTGATCCTCCTGTAGGTGGTGAGTCCACAGGAGCTGAGATCTTTCAGCTGGGGCTTCAGGCAAAGTTGGGTTAAGTGTCTTGCCCAAGGACACAACGACAGCAAACTTCAGTGGGAGTCGTGAAGTAGGTCTTTCGGTGAGCTCGAACCCTTTCTGACAATAACTATGACTAAGAAACTTGATCGCTTCGTCTACATACAAATGACTGTTCCAAACACCTTTTTCCACAAATACTTGCTATTGGTCATTTGAGTATTTTATGAAAAATTGCAGACCTCACTTTCCAAAAAAAAAATGTGTAAATGTAGGGTATCAAATCTTGGTTGTGGTTTACAGCTTTGCAATATCCAAACCCCCAGTGATAACAACACAAACAATACTTTTCACAACAGCAGGTGTTGCTTATGGCATTGTGACTATAGCATCTAGTTCTTCTATATACTGTAGGTTGTACACAGGTCAATTCTCAACATGGCTCTAAACTACAGTAAACACTTCTCTTCAAACACATAATTCAATTCAATTCATTTTTGTGTTGCCCTCAATCACAATGGCAGTCTTTTACAAAGTTGTACATTTTTCCAACAACATAATAGAGTATAAAACAACCCCAACACAGAAAATGCAATAATAAACGCACTGCAGCTATTGGTTCATAGGGTGATCCAAATTCATAAATATGAATAGAGGTACATTATATCCATATGTTCCGGATCATCATTGTCCTCAGGCTCTCCTTCATCCGCAAGGTACAACTCAATAAACCCAGAGGGGAAAAAAAGTATTCTCCCCATATGGGCTGCGTGTGAATGCGCTGCTCTTTGGTGCAGCCATAGCACCATCTACTGTTTGGTAATGGTAGAACATCTCTAGCCACAGTTTCAATAGTTTCAACATACTGTACTGTATACTGTAGATGGCATACTTCAGAACAGTAGACACGTTTTCTTAGATTGCTTTCTTCCAACACAAGGTGCTGAGCTAATTCTTTTTTTTTTAACATTACAGTTTATAGTAAGAAATAGATGGTCTTCCGTCAAATACCTTTACTCAAGTCTATACATAATACGTTATTTTGTGTTTTATTTATATTTATTTTTACATTTTTCCATTATCTTCAAAACATAAATATGCATTTATTATACAATCAATGATATATCTCCACAGTATTAAATGGTGCCACCTGCATGTGAAAGCAAGGTCTCATTAGACCTCTGAAGCTAAGTCGGACACTGCCTGGTGAGTACTGGGAGACTTCTGCGAACACCAGGTGCCGGTGTAAAGTCCCAAACTGTCAATGGCTTCTTACGCCAGACTGGTTGCCTTCTGTCAGTCTGTATTAGTTTATCACTGTGCATGGAGTGAATGAATAATGCCTTGAGAAGTACATTGTCCAAAAGGGCATTATATGAAACTGATCTTTAATATTTAATGCAACACTAACAAACTAAAAACAATAAATAAAACAATATACACAAATCCTGCCGATTTCCAGTTTGACAGTCTAGTTTGCAAACTTGAATGCAATAACACCAATAATATTGTTGACACACACAGTGGGAATGAAAGAGCATGTGTTATTTTCATTGGAAGGATACAGTCATTGCCATGCTATACAGTTGCTTATAAAGTGCTTTTTTATTGGACTATATTAGACTACAATCGGCTCCAGTTACATTATCTTATGCCTGTTGTCCGTGGGTTCGACCCTCTTCTGCCTGGGCCTGTGGTTTTACAGGATTGTGCACTGAAAACCACCAGACAGCTGCTGTTTCTAAATGTTTTTCTTTTTTTTCTGTGTCTGAACAGCTGAGAGTGGCCAGGGACTGTTTGTTCTCTTCAATGGCCACAAGATGACAGAGCCACTTTGTGGGCCTAATGCAGCCTAATTAGTTCTTGTCCTCCTCTTTAAAAGGGACAGAGATGCTGAAAATTAAAGTGAAGATAAATGACTAAAGCGGGCCTCCTGTCCAATGTGCTGTCTCTGTATTGTTGTATTTCTATCACAAGTAGGTTCCCGAGGCTTCTGTTCCTTGTTGCTGGTTAATAATGTTCTTGAATTCCATTAAACATTCTCCTCATTTAACGTCGTACTACCTGACTTTCCCCTTACACATGGCAAATATGTTTTTTTACACTCACATGTCAGCGATTGCTTTCTCTGTGCCTAATTGGAGATGGTCTTGGATGAGCACTGCACCTTCATTCACTGTTCGGCATACACTTTTTTGGACTTGCGATACAAATGTGTCCTTTTAACGTTGCTATTTCATTTTTTAGCCCTTGAAAACACATCAGAGATATCTATTCATGTTCAAATTCTATGCCACCAGTAGAGGGCAACACTCACTCACCCCTGAGTTATGGGTTGGATTTGCTACAATTCTCAATCAAAATGTAGTCAATAATGTATTTTTGTGTTACTTGAGTTGCAATTCGCAGTGTTTTTCTGTGATAATCCAGAACAATCCAAAAAAATTGAGCCCACTGTGACAACATTAAACCTTGCTGTTTTGTTATTATTGGTCGGCTTTTGAAAAATGTCTTTCATTGTTTGTGTTAATCACAGCAGAAAACCTCTTCTGATTTCATACACTTCTATACTCCCAGAACTAATGCATCGATGGGCGCTTGTTGTAATCTAACTTAAGGCCAAATACTCAGCAACAGAAATCAGTGCCTGTCGGGGCCCATGCTCAATATGTGGGCCAAAATCTGTGCCAAGTGCTAAAACTAAGTGTTGGGTGAGCGTCTCTAAAGTGTTTATAATAGCTGAGATGCTTTTAGTCAAAAGTAACTCTCTAATTGTAAAGGGTAGAATAACATAGTAAGTTTTAGTTACTTTGATTGTAACTTTCTGTGTAACTACTCTCAACACTGAAAGCTGATTATGTATTGCATTAATAATAATGCAATAAATAGCACACAATCCTGTGTTGTTTACAAGATGGGAATAGACTGGTTTTATCTAATTGACAAACTATGCAGGCCATATTTTGGCACAACAATTAAAATACAGTAAATGTCACCACCCAAAAACTCCTTGGGGGGAGCACATTCGGCCCAGGGGCCCCACTGTGGGCACTCCTGGTCATTCATTATAATGGTTATCATCTATATGTGTCTGTGTGACATGCTCACACTGTCCTGGTGTTAGAGCGACTCAAGACAAGGCAATCTGAGTTTTGGCCTGAGGACCTTCTGTAGCATTTGTCCATCATTTTAGAAGACAAACCGTCCCTTGTTGATCAGAGCAGGTTTGCCGACGCCAGCATGTCGCATTCTGGGGATAGCTGTGCACAGGGAGGCTGTGATGTGCCACCTGGCCCTTGGCATCGCTGCTTGGGAACTTTGCTTGACCTCTGCATTAAAACTCATTTGCCGTTGGAGGCGCGTTGGCCGTGGTCTCCCAGGACCACTTGGTGCATTGTGACTGTGATGAGGACAGAGCAGAGGAGGAGTGCCGACACCTCCTGGACAGCGGGACATCAGAGCTGCACAGTTGCACTTCAAAGATCTAAGTTTGGGCAGTGGCCAACAGAAAACTTATACATGCTGCATGCAGTAATGTATTTAACAAATGGTTTGGGAGGTGTACAATGACCGAAAAGGATTACGGTATTAAAAATACATTTGTGTTTCCACGAGCATGCACGGATTCCATTTTATATGTTTAGTGACAGTTTAGTTGTTGTACAAAGTTTTTTGGTGAATAATGTACTAATTTAATAGCATGCATTTCAGTTTTTGATGGAACAGAACATTCTTCTGGTCCCAGGCACACAGAACTTCACAGTCCACTAAGGTTTGTGTCTTTGTCATGTACTATTATTTATCATTAGTCAATATAATAAAATGTCTATAGCCATATATCCCAACAGGCGTTATCTCGAAGGACAACGTTTTTCAATTCGCCAACACAGTTCAAATAATGATTTCACTATACTGTAAGGCCTAAGTTTCAACTGAACATCCTCAGCAAGTGTCATTTTTAACATTATTTGAACATATTCACTCTAAAACACATATGATTCTAGTCCATGACACAAGTTTAGGGTGGACGATAGTAAATTGAGTTGATTAAGAGCGAGGTCACGGTGTCACACAGGTGCATGGTTTGTTTTCCATTGTCCGTCAGTGCAGCAGAGACCCTCACAGACACAGCAGTTAGACGTGTGCTTCGACCTCACATATCGTCTACACCATGTTTCTCTGAGCTGCCCTCAACAAAACCATAATATTTGTCCAAAGTGAGGGGTACAAATGCTGAAAAGCCCCTGACACCGGAGCAATGACACTGTCTCCACCTGTCGCAGGTCAGAGGCTAATGCTCCGGGCTCAAAGGTTATTTCCACAAGAACTGCTTCAACGCGCTGCTTTCTTTGCCCATAAAAGCACCCACCCAGAGCGACGAATGTTTGACTCAACACTGATGAGGCTCATTACGTTGACAAGTAAATTAGGACGTTGAAATAGTCAAAATAACTCTTAAGAAGAAGTACTCTGCGATACTCAAGTAGTAGTATCATGTGCAAGACTCAAGCACCTGATGAATGGAGAACACTTTTTGAATACATCATTACAAAAGTGCTGTTTTTTGTTTTTTTTTGGCAGTTTAATTTTAAGTTTATTTTATCAGGGACAATGTGCAGTTGCATTGAAAATATATTATTTTCCCCAAAAAATATGTAGGCTGTATTTTTATTCCAAATAATAGTTTTTTTTTTTTGTCAAGCTTTGTTTATATTTATTTGTAAATTTAATTCAACATTACTTTGGATATTAGCAATAAGTTCAGTTATTGGAATGAACCAACACTGGACCAAAGAAAATGCAGGATCGGTAATGATTGGGTGATTATTTATTTTTCATTTAACCCGATTGCATTTTGGGTTCAATGTTCTGAATAAATTTAATATAAAATGCTTGTATTCTTGATGAAATATTTTTTTAAATATATATCATACTATGGTAGCTCATAGCAACTTCTCCTCATCAATGGTGAAATTTCAAAGTCTTTTGAGGAGGTACTAGTTTTAACAACTACATTTGAATACTGCTTAACTTTATGACTATATCTATATCCTCATGAATATACTGTGCTTATCCCAAATACAACATTTCAATAAATTGTATATTTTAGGCCATAACGTTGCGTACGAATTATACTTTATACAGCTTTCCTTGCCAAGATGCCGCTTACTGTTCCCACCACCCTGTTTGCCGTAGTGCACCACATAATCTCTTGTGAACGGCAGTTGGGTGAACTGGCAGAAGAACAGATAAATTGACAACATCAGTGCAAAAAGCAACTGCTGCTGCTGCTTTCTGTGGGCAGTCCTGATGTACAAAGCTATGTTGAACAGTGCAATGTAATGAGCAGATAACTAGCCCATCATGTAACACATCCCCAAATACCACCGACTTGTAGAGCTCTTTCCTAAATGCTACCAGGCAATGCACGCCGCTTTTAGCCCCGCGTTTAACTCCGGGATTGCTCGCCCTCTGAGGATTCTGTGCTGCCGGAGGACTGTGGCTAATTAGCTTGAAAACAATAGCTCCCCTGATCACCATTCCATTGTGCTCTTCTGGCATTGTGCGGAGTATCTTATTACAAACTTGTGATAAACACCGGGCTAAATTAGATGTGCAGTTGTTGCCATTGTCGCCGATTTCTGATATCCCAAACCCCCCAGTGTGTCCTTTGTAGCGTGGTATGTACACGTCCAAAGGCTGAAAGAGTCACTATAGTCCCAGATGGAGTATAAATATATGGTAAGTGACAGAGGGAGTGAGAGCTGATACAGTTGCTTTGCTCTTCGCGGTCACCTTTCTGTGCCAAGGCCTATAAGGTAATTAAGACCGCAAACGCAGCCCAATAGCAGCACTACTTAAGACCCGATATTAATGCTGCTCTGATGGATGATGTCAAAAGTGATTTCTTGCAGCCCAAGAGCCATCTGGTCTTCAGTCTGTCTTTGTTAGCCTCTGATGATGGAGCACAATTGATTAATGTTCTGCAATTAGCCGACATTAAAAGACACGTCTATACCAAAGCATCATTTACTGGAGAATGTTACGTTTTGATGTAATCCCATGGTCATAAAAGAGCAAATAAACAATATGGGATAATTTTACATGATCTGAAGTACTGTTTAGTTTAGAAATACTGATGTATTTTCTTGACTGAAAATGTGTGTTGAGTTTGAATAGAATATAATGTTTATGTAAGCCCATCCCAACTCCACATAACATTATTTTGTTGTTGTTCATAATTTCAAATGGGGGTTGAATTTCTAAATAGTTAGAGTTGGAACATATTACATCTATAAACTCCCTTTTCATTTAATGTACAATGTCTGTAGACTACATCAAGAGTGGTAGGACACAATATTCAGCCCACATTTATTACCTGGGAGAAATTCCATCAGCAACAACTTTATGCTCTGTTTTATGTCTGAAATTCAGTGATTTGACAAGAGTATAGTATGTGTACATATATCTGTGGCTTGTGTGTGTGCTAGTGTGTGTGCATGTTCTGTACGTGCTCTGCAGTGTCCCAGAGGAGCCGCAGGAGCCAGAGAATGTGTCCTTGTAACTTACTAGGCCAACTCTGTTATAGTCTTGTAACAGTAAGCCTCAGGCCAACACATCTTGTGATCGGCTTGTTCCTACACACTCAAAGAACATGAAAAGTTGTATAACTCTGAAAAAAACTTCATGTCTATGAGTCCCACATGCAGAAATTCAGCTTCGGTGCTGCTCTTTAAAGGGGTCTCTATGTATGTATTGAGCAAAAAATAATCTTATAAAAGGCACACCAAATGTAAAGCCAGCAGTGAGAGGAAAAAGAGGAGAAAATTGGTTAAGATATTTAATTCCGGAAATATTATCAATTGCATCCTCTTTCTTATTGTGATTTTTAACTGAATAGAATAGCTCTTTGCTGTATAAATATCTCCAATATACTTTCACTGAGCAGTCTGTCTCCATCATGAGCTTCAAATGGACGGGAGCTGGGCTGGGGACAACTGCGAGGCGCTGGTTAAGTGTTGCAGGCTCGTGCCGCTGGGACCCAGAGCCATGTGAAACATCCCGACTGAGGAGGCCCAGTGCATCACGCCTGGGGGGTCCCGATCCAGCCCGGGCCATTCGTCCATTGCCATCAGCTTATTATGACTAGGCCTCTACACTCTCCCAGAGCATGGAGCACATGATTGTCTAGAAACCGAAAATAAACAATGAACACAACAAAAGAGCTGGTCTGACACAGAGCTGTATCTCCACACGTTTAAAGTCAGAGAAGTGGTATAAACAATTACAGTGTAGATTTATAATAGTCATACAAGTTATCACACAGTCAATAATGCAATGGAATATGTTTTAATCACCAAAGTTAAAAACACAAATCTAAATATGGTCACCGTTAATATCACCCACACAGTGTTTCCAGTGTCAAATGTCTGCTTTGAAATGAACATTCTGTCTTGGTCAAAGTTAAACACTGATTGCAATGTATTTTAAAAGCATTTCAAAATATTCAAATAAAAACAAAAGATTTAGGTATTTTTTTTGAAAATGTAAAAACCGTTATTGTTTATGTGTTAAACCATAAATAATGTACGGTAATTCAAAGAGACAGGAGAAGTGCAATAATGTCATTACACATTGTTAGGTGCAACATTGGGTGCAGGGCCGGCATAATTTATTTGTTTTTAATGTTTTAATTATTATTTATTATTAACTTTTTTATAGTGAGACACAATAACAAAAACAAGTCATCGCAAAAGTTGTGTGCATTAAACTCTTGTTTTGTTTTTTGTTTTTTTTAATTATTATTATTTTTGTCCTACTTCCAAGTTGTTTTCATATCATTTTTTGCTGTTTGATTGTTAAAACTTTAATCATAAAAAAATGACATTAATAATCATATTCTCCCAGTTTTTTCTGATTATGTTTTGGAAGCTTTTGATTGGTAACAAACAGCATTCATGAATTTCAGCCCTGGGTCAGAATTGTTTTTAAATATATCTCAGGGTCAGAGGTGATCTGGATTAGGGGTTTAGTTATAGATCCTTTGTGGAAGATGACACGTTCTTGATGCGCTTTCTGCCTGAGCTGTCACACAATACAATTTGGCTTTTTTAATCTCTAGACGATGGACAGCCTGATATCTAATATTCCATTATTGAAGGTTCTTGGAGCACGGCTCACTTCCACGAGGGCTCTGAGTATAGCGCACACCTGCCAATCCACCGGTATTTATAGTGGGAACTTAGCTATTGTGACTGAAGTAATTGCAGAAGGCACTTTTTATACAACTTTGTGCAACACAGTGTTATTAGAAAGGGCATGTGTGTGCTGCCTGTCTTGTCATTGTGCATGATTTATAGCTTTAGCATCGGGGGCTATAAACTTCAGTCTGTGCCCCAGAGAACGTCAAATTTCCAACTCTCAACATCTGTCAATGGATATATGAGACCCCGATAAAAGCAATGAGTTATGCTGGAATTAATTATTATGTAGGAATAGGTCAAACTAGCACCTTAGCCGACTGCTGTATATTGTGGAATCTTTAATAATGGGTGTATCATGGTCCTTGTTTGTTACTTCAGCAGCACATCTGGTATGGACACAATTCACTGCTCTGCCATTATTTAACACCTGCTGTTGTTCTTGTTGTGAACTGACTCAAGACATTACATCAATATATGTGCAAGGGATTAATGAGAAAAGGAAAGGTATAGCATCATGGCTGTTGGCGCGTTCACATCTGGGCAAAGGTTAACAATGCATGACAGCACCGTGCGCTGATGATGGTTATCAGTGGAGATAACAAGTCTAATAGCGGATATGAACAAGTGCTTGGTTCAATGGTGTTTACAGTCTGTATTTACAATAGAACAAGCTGTTTGACCTTTTCAGTAATGATGATTAGGATCCTGCAACACTGTGCTTAAGTTGTCATAGCTTTAATTCTAAAAAACCACAATCACCCCATTTAGAAGCACGTCTGGTTTTTATTCACTGAAATTAACTGAAGCTTACTTTGAAATTCCTTTGTTATTACATTGGGACGTACAACATAGTATTCAGTATTTGGCCAGTGCAGAACCCAAGAGTTATTTTATGGAGCATTGATAATTATAATAAGTGCCAAGTGTATGAAGAGTTTACCAAGTCTGTGAGGAGACAAGATGGAAAATATGATCCCTATTTATAGTAAAACAAAAAGCATGTTTCTTTATTTCCTCTTTTGCCCTTGACTCGGATAGAGTTGCCGGATGCAGTGAAGATGCAGGGGACACTGTGTGACCTGTGCATCCAGGGTGTCCGCCGGTGAGAGCAGTGACTGATGGGTAACTGGAGTTGGGAGCAGCCCGTACAGCGTTATCGGGTACAAGGGGGTGTGAACAGCGGCAGAGATGCCTCTGAGGTCAAGCCTTTAATAATGATTACAAACTGGAGCTGGCTGCTGGAGCGACAGGCTGCAGCTGTGTGACGGCCCGCCTTTGATGTGCCCCCGCCTGTTGCAGGGTCCCAGGGCCTGGGCATGAGGAGACGCTGGAACTATGTGCTGCCTGTGGGAAAGAATGTCCTGCGACGCCACGGTGACGGAGCACAGAGTGGACTGGCCTATGGGCAGGACCACTGCGCCCAGGGATGGCACCGTAGAGAAGCCGAACTCATGTATACGTCATGTGTGGCACAAGCGCAAGCAGAGCATAGAACCAGAGCTGCAGGTAAATCATGCTTTCTTCACATGAGATACAAAGGTGTGCTTCCATTTTTCAAACTCTGAAGTTAATATAAATGAAGAAATATTATCATTGCTTTAACATGATTATGTGACTGAGTGAGCCATATCCACTCAGTCACGAGATTTTCTTGTTCACTTAACAGGACGCTAACACAGCCACCAATGAGGAACTTCTGGTTAAGAGTGACTCACATTTTTTATTAAATTGAGAAAATGTAGCTATATCCAAGAGTCAAGATCTGTGGATTTGTCTCCCTAAGGAAATAATTGCTTCGGAAAATGTATGGGCCAAGTATATTTTCTAGACGTTATAAAAGACAAAAGACACCAACCAAGGGATATACATTTAGCCCCCAAATACACACACACACACACACCTCATTTCCTCTCATTCATTTACAGACTCACTCAGGGATGAGAACGTACATGGAGCCACAGGTGACGTATCAAATGTGATACTTTGTGATTTGTGTTTAATTAATGTTCCTGCACACCAAGAACTCAGCATCTCAACCTCTGGACCTTATCTAATTGCTAATTACGAGTTAAAACCACAACAACACAACACAAGGTTACACAACAAAAAAATACAGTTCCACAATCAAGTTTAAATCAGTCTAAATCAATCACTTAAGAAAAGAGTTGTTGAGATGGCAAATAAATTTCACTACAAGGGTGGAATTAATCAATGGCAAATCAAATCAACCCTTTTGGAAAAGTAAGAAGTTATTCCTGATCTGAATTTACAGCTGTCAGTGAGAGAGGAAAACAGAACCTTTTAACCTCTTACAAAATGCACCTCACATAAACTTGGAGATTTACAGCTGATCATCTTAATAAGTACCTGCTGCAGATGAATGCTCGGTGCATTGTCCCCACGCACAGATCTGATTATCACTTACCTTCAGAACAAGCACTGACAGAAAGAGCAGAGTGATTTGCAGCTGTAGTGATGCTAATGTGGAAGTATGTCATTAGGGAGGCTGTTACTCATTGTACAAATCCTCAGTCATTTATCCATGACTGTTATTTTTTTTCCCCTGGTAAGTACATTTTTCCTCGCTAAGTGCACTTTCCAAGATAATTTCAACCGTTGTATATTATTTTCTAATGTGGTTCATGAAATATGCTGTCTAATGAAATTAACTATTATTATTTGCTAATGAGGGGGCATCATAGCTTATTTAATGGTGATTTTGGATTTTCACACCGATTTAATATTAGTCTAAGTGCCGCGGGTAAAGACGCAGAGGGAAGCGAAGCGCACAGACAGCAGCAGTGATGACATCAGCGCTCCATAACAATGATCCATTGTACAGCACAAGCTTCTGCTCTCTGCCAAAGACTGTCCATAAGTTTTATTTGGCATTTTATAGCTGTTAGATCACAGCAGCTCAGAGCCTGTTCAAAGGTGGCCACTCGCTGATCGTCCAGTAGGGAGAGGGGAGAGATAGACCACCAGAGCTAATACAACTGGGACCAGAGCCTTTGATCTGCTGCAGAGGATTTCAATCCTATTTCCCCTCAGCGCTCACGTAATTGGTAAATGACAGTGAGGCAAAATGGCTTAATACTTGGAAAATCCTCTCCTTCTGAAGAGAAACAATCTATAATGCGAAACTATGCTGTGTTGCTGCTCCCAGGCCATGAGAAATGTATAAAGAGAAAGAGCTTTTATCTAGGGAAATGTTTAACAAAGAAAATAATGTCGAAAATAATCACTTTACCCATGAGATTGTTTTATTGCCTTTCCACCGCATTGGATTTGAATGGTCATCTGACACTTACAAATGCTCAGATGTGTGCAGTAAATACAAGGCCTTTAGAAGTCTTTTAAAGCACAGAAACTAAAAGAAAAGTCGTGTTGATTTTTTGACGGAAACAAAACCTTGAATTCATTTCTGGAATGAAGGAAAGATGTTGAGACTAAAATGACCTGGAAATAACATAACATTTAGAAAATAAATGTTATGGGTTGGATTCTGTACTTTGTTTTTCCATTTGACGATATTTGACTTTGGTGTAAATCCAGGTTGTAAAAAGTCTGCTCTGTAAAGTGATTGTACTATAAATTTTATTAATACCATCTCCTGAAGTCCATGACTCTAAAATAATTGTGGGCTAAACTTTATTCAAGATGAAGATTAAAGGACTAAATTATTACTGTGATGACATGCCGGCCATTCAAATACTTTAATGTTCGCTGGGACTGGGACTCTATAGTCATTTTCTACATCCTCTCCTGTGAGCAATAACAAGCCTACACCTGATTAAGTGTGCCATAATGTTTAACTGCATTATGTTGAAAATGTGCACCATTGGCTAGCCTTTGGTCAACTAACTTTTAATATAGCTGGCTCATGAGTGCAAATCCTTCAATATGGCACCTCAC